TTTATTGGTTGATGAATCTAGAGACGTGTCAGGCAAAGAGAAAATGGCTATTTGTCTAAGATATGTTGACAAAATGGGGTTTGTGATGGAGGCATTTATTGGACTTGTTCACATTAAAGATACTAGTGCTTTATCTCTAAAGAAAGCAATTGTAGATGTACTTGCTCACCATTCTTTGACTTTATCTAATGTACGTGGGCAATGTTACGATGGGGCAAGTAATATGCAAGGTGAGCTAAGTGGTCTTAAAACGTTGATTAAACAAGAAAGTAGATCGGCTCATTCTGTTCATTGTTTTGCTCATCAACTTCAATTGACTCTTGTTGCGGTTTCTAAAAAGTGTGTTCAATAGGTGAACTGGTATTATTAATTTCAAATATTTTGAATGTGTTGGGAGCTTCTTTTAAACGTGTGGATAATTTTCGAGAATCTAAAAAAAAACATCTCCAAATGGCATTGGATATGGGTGAACTAGAAACGGGTAGAGGGTTGAATCAAGAACTTGGTCTTGTTAAAGTCGGTGATACTCGTTGGGGATCTCACTACAAGTCATTTGGAAACTTTATTAGTAGCTTTGACTCTATTGTTGATGTACTTGGTACTCTTGTTGAAAATGCAAGTACTTTGGAAGAAAGAGCAAGAGCATCGGGATTTCTCAGAAGTTGTCAAATGTTTGAGACTATTTTCTTGTTGCATTTGATGACAAATGTTTTAGGAATCACAAATGATCTTAATGTTTCATTACAGAAAAAAGGAGCAAGACATTGCAAATGCCATGATTCTTGTAAAGGTAGCAAAGAGAAGGTTGCAAGCTTTAAGAGATAATGAATGGGATCCTCTCTTAAAAAAATATATTGGATGGGATTCACTTAAAGAAATGGTAGAAGCATTTTGTATCAAGCATGGCATTTCATTACCCAATTTTGATGATCCATATGCTAATTCTGGGAGATCACGACGTAAAGTAGTTATTTGTACTACTTTGCATCATTATCGTGTGGATGTGTTTTATAAAATCATTGATTGGCAACTACAAGAACTTAATGATCGTTTCAATGAGGTGACAAGTGATTTGCTTAATGGAGTATCTTGCTTGAATCCAATTGATTCATTTTCTAGTTTTGACATAAAGAAGATAATGAGAATGGCTGAATTATATCCTGATGATTTTGATGGGTCCAACATGAGAGCTCTTGAGAATCAACTTGTTAATTACATTATTGATGTTCGTGATATTGATGAAAGGTTCTCCAATTTAGGTGGACTTGGAGAACTTTCAAGAAAGTTGGTTGAGACAAAGAAGCATTTAACATATTCTCTCGTATTTCTTTTAGTGAAGTTTGCTTTGCTCCTACCTGTTGCCACTGCTACAGTTGAAAGAGCTTTTTCGGCAATGAAGATTATCAAGAATGACTTGCGAAATCGAATGGATGATGAATTCTTAGATGGTTGCATAGTTCCTTATGTAGAGAAAAAAGTATTTAAAGATGTTTCTAATGAGTGTATTATGAAAACATTTCAAGAGATGAAGTGTCGTCGAGTGCAATTGTAGTTACCACTTTATAATTTACATATTTTGGTGTATATGAAACTATCCGTCAATATATTTGTCCTACTTCATCTTCCTTAGTTTATTCATTGATATTTTGTAAGTTTCTGTTTTAAGAATTTTCATTTTGGATAGTTGGTTAATTTGATATTGAGGTATGACTATTTTGAAGCCAATCTTTATAATCTGACTAGCAAGGTTTA